CCATGCTGCGCAGGCCTCTGTTCTCACCCACAGCACAGGCCCCTGACCGTCCTCACGGGTGCAGACCCGGTGGCCAGAGGGTACCTGGTACTTGGATTGGAAAGGACAGTGTTTAGACTCTGGATCCCTCTGAGTAAGTTGAGCCCTAGAGAAAGCTGTCTCCATGATGGTGACACAGGCGTCAAAGCCACATAGAGAAGAACTTGAACCAAACTATTTCTCAAAGCTGGACAAAAGCCATGTTTCCAAGGTAGCATTTTATATCAAAGCCATTGAGTGTGGCTGTCTGGCTCAGGTCGTGAATTCCGCATGACAGGTCTGCTCTGGCCAGGCCTCCCCGGCTTCCAGTGGACATTATTCAGTTTGTTGTCTGCTTTCTCTGGGCCACTGGGACTGTCCTCCGCCTTTGGCTTGCCTCCTCTTGGGCATAGGCCTGGTGGTGGCTCACGTCACTTTGTCGCTCTCTAATCCCAGGTGCCACAGCTGTTTCCCTGCTCTGCTCCCCTTGCCAGAAAGGCAGTGCTGGGCACAGCTCACCCACCTGTGAGGTCCTGGGCCCACCCAGGCTGAACCCCCAGCATTCATTTGAACAGATGGTGGAGAGGTGCGTTGCTTTGAGCTGGGAGGAGACGAGAGAGAAGGGAGGAGAGAGAAGGAAGGAACGGAGAGAGAAGCAGGAAGGACGAGGACGAGGGTGACAGCGAGGGAGTGAGTATGAGCGGATGGCGGCCTGCCCGAGCCCTGCCTGCTCCCTGCACCCTTGCCTGCGTCCGGCCTGTGCCCTGGGGTGATCAAGAGCGATGCCCCAGTACAGTGACACATGAGCAAACCATAGTCTTTAGGACAGAGGAGGGCCTGGTGTCCCAGGGCAGGCCAACTGGACCATTCTAGAACTCACTCTGGCTCTGAGTTACGCACCTGAGAAGGAAGACAGCTGCTCACAAAGGTGGGGCAGGTGGCGTGGGAGACAGGGTTGTCCCCGTCACAGGAGGCAAGCAAACAGAAGCTGTGGGCTTCCAGGTGGCTGCCGTGGGGCCTTTCTGCATGTGCCTCCTGGAAACCCTCCTCCCAGTCCAATGATCCCCGGTGTCCTGGGTGCAGGAACGATGGAGTGGATTGTGGTTTAAGTTCAGAGTCCTGTGCGCCTCCTGGCCTGAAGGGCTGCAGAGGATCCCGCCCCCATGTCTTTGCACGCCAAACTGCTCTCCTAGGACATGGACCCTCCCTTACTGTGGCCCCCAGCCACCCAGCTCCTGAGCAAGTGGCCCAGTGGCTCAATGCTGTCTACACATGCCATGGGCCTGCCACCCAGGCCACGCCACCCCAGGTAGAAAGGGGAGCTTTGGAGGAAGCCCCTGTGTGCCTCCTCGCCCTGTGCACCTGCTCACCAAGCATTGGGTATGTCACCTGAATCTCTCTCCCCGGGTATTTCAGTCATGTCACACCAAAGGACACAGCTTTCCCCTTTCCCATCTTCCATCAGGACCCAGCCCAGGGTGGTGGGGTCCCTCACCTCAGGCAGGATTTGAACTCCGGGCCTGGTTTTCTGGGCAGCGTTTCTGGTGGGAGAATACAGGCTTTCCAGGGGTCAGTGCACTGGGGTTGGGCAGGAATGGGCCGTCGGATGGGGTCGCAGACCCGCAGCAGTGAAGGGTTCCTGGGCCTGGGGGTTAGGGCAGGGCACCAGCATCCTCAGGCCTGGGCAGCAGCCTGCAGTCCCACTGTGCCTGGGCTTGACTTCCACATGGTGCTCCCTATCCCCAGTCTAGCCCCACATAGACTAGGCCCCTCCATTGGCACCTGTGCCAGAGGGGGGTCACCTGGGCGCCCGGGAGGGGCTGCTGCTTTGGATTGTGTGGGGAGCCTCCCGGGCAGTGGGCAAAGGAGGGTCTGCCGGGTTCCCTGGTACGGTGCCTCAGGGCGGGTCCCACAGGTCCTGCAGCTGCAGGAGCATCCAGCAGCTGCACCCCATAAAATGCGTGCTCGCTGAGCTGGGGGCGCTGCAGATACCTGGGTGAAATGGTCCCTACCCCCAGGCTCCTCCAGGACTCTGGCCCTGACCTCCAGCTGGGGACAGCCTGGGAGGGCGCTGCTTTCCACACAACCTGCCTGTAAACCTTGGTTTCCAAACCCGCTAGGTCTTCTCCGGGCAAAGGCGTTCTTTTTCATGAGCTGGTCACGAGGGGCCAGACTCATTCAGAGCTCCTCAGCTGCAGAAGGAAGAGCCCCTCTGGCTCAGAGGAAGGAGCCCACAGAGCAGGCTGAGCCTCCCAGGAGCTAGCATTGTCCCCAGAATGCAAGAGCAGAGCCCCCAGAATGCCTGCTGGGCCCTGCTGGGAAGCTCGCTGAGCGTCCTGGCCAGGCCATGAAGCCATTCTGTGCTCGGGGTCTGTATCTGTAGGGACCAGCGGAGAGGCTGAGAGTCCCTAAGGGAACTAGCTGCCTGTCCACACTGGCACCTGGTGCTCGTGCTGGACAGCCGCATGGTCACCCTCAGGCCTCGAGATCCCAGGAATGCAGGGTCACAGGAGGAAGTCCTGCGTGGTAGCATCAGGTGAGAAAAGTTGAACGCAGAGCTCGACACTCAAATGATGTCAAGCTTGAAAACCAGAATAAGCCGGTACCAGACGCCCAGAAGAGAGATGGTGCTCAGCAAAACATGGCGGGGTTGATGGGGTGACAGGGTCACAGTGACCTTCCTCATCTCTCCCCACCTGTTGGCAGTTGATAAAGGTCATGGATGAGCGTAGGTGTGGCTTTTCGGGTGGGGACATCTCGACACACTACTCCTGAAGATGCAATCTCCCACGGCCAGGTGCGCCTGCAGGGTTGGGTGGTTTCTGAGCTGGGCACCGAGGGGTGAGCCTGAACTGCAGTGCCCGCTGCGTTACCACGTCCCAGGCCTGCACCCTGGGCCAACCTGAGTGGGCAGGGGAGTGGGCACCCGGGGAGGGACCCGACGGAGGGGTAGCTTGAGCTCCTTAGAGCCCAGGACAGCAGGGCCACCAAGGAAGACACCCGGAGAGCACTCTGGGAGGCCACCTGTATGAGCTTGCTGCATCCAAATGTCACCCCAAATCTCACTCAATAGTTTTTAAAAAGTTGGCTCACCCGAAAAATACTCAGAAAACTATAAAGCATTCTAGAAAAGGAACCCAAGAAGGATAGAACCCTAATAAAAATCCTCACAGGGGTGTGTGTGTGTGTGTGTGTGTGTGTGTAACTTGGAAAACAGCGTTAAGTTTTTCAAAAACTGGGTGTGGTAACACAAGGAGGCAGAAGGGCCAGTGTTTGAAGAAGAAGAATGAAGTGGAGAACTTGCTGTCCTCGTGTCACAGCTGTTACAATGCCAAGGGGACGAGTGTGGCATTGGCGTAAGGGTAGACTCCAGTAGACCAGTGGGGTCATAAGGGGACAGCAGGGCTCGTGTCTTTTGACAAGTGTGTCACTGCTGAGCAGTGGGAAAGGCAGCTTCTCAGTGATACACACCGGCAGGGGTGAAGTCCGACCCTCCCTCACCCCACTGGGAGCCCGTCCCTCCCTCACCCCACGGGCAACACTGATTTCAGAGGGATTCTCCATCCAAATGTTAAGGGGAAATGGGAAACTTCTAGAAAGTAACACAGGGGGACATCTCTAGGCCCTTGAACACCACATAGAAAGTGCTGCCCATAAAAAGAAATCAATCACATCAACTATAAAGTTTAAAATTCTTTTTGTCAAAAGACATCAATCAGAGAGTAAAACAGATTACCAAGTCGGGGAGGGCTGGCTGGGGCTCAGGGGGAGCACTTGCCTGGCACATGTGAGGCACTGGGTTCAATTCTCAGCACCACATATAAATAAAAAAAATAAAGATGCAAGAGTGAGCAATAAAAAGTGTTTTAAAAAAAGCAGGGCCGGGGGGGGGGGGCATTTCACACGTACAACCTTTATTCCAGAATAGGCACAACTACAAATCAATACAAAAAAGATCAACAGCTCAATATAAAAAATAGGCAAAAATCAGGCACTCCACACAAAGAATATTTCAGCAACCAATAAATAGGTGAAAAGGTGCTGAATCTCACCAATAATCACAGAAATGAAAATTAGTCCCAGTGAGACAACCAGGGCAGATTGGCTAAAATATAAAATCTTGACAATGCCAAGGGTTGACAGGACACAGAGCCACAGGGCCTCTACTGAACAGCCGTGGGGGTAAAGTGGTAGAGCTGCTTTGGGAAACGGTTTGGTAGCATCTTGGTGAGGTTATTAGGACTTCTGTGTCCTGCATCCCGAGATTGCCCCAGGTCAAGGCCCCACAGAACCACGTTCTTACGCGAACTCCGGCAGCTGTGGGTGAGTGCCCAGAGCAGTCAGTGACCCCAAATGGAGACAACCCAAGTGTCCACCAGCAGTAAAGTAGACCAAAAATTTGGGGGATCCTCACAGTGGGAAGCTATGTGAAGAAGAGCAAGAACCGAGTTTGGCTGCTCACAGCCACCTGGACGGAGGAGCCAGGCTGAGAGGGCCCAGGCTGCAGGGCGCCATTTACAGGATGCTCAAAGACAGGCCTGGGTGGTGACACCCAGGAAGAGAAGCATGAGGGGCATGGGGAGGGTGCCTTGGGGCGGTGCCTGGCTTTGCCCGGGAGGGCGTGCTGCTCTCCAACGAGTTACAAGCCACACATTTTGGTTTTCACGTGAGCTTCGGCCTCACACGGTGGCCTGTGTGCGGCCATCAGGTGGCTCCTGTGGATGGCTGCGGAGGGCCAGCTTTGCCCAGCCCCGTGCTGGACTTTTCATGAAGACACAGAGCCAAAGCCACAGCGTCGGGTTCCACGAGGTTCACTTCAAGCACAAGTTCAGTTGCCCGCGGGACCTGCACCCTGGCTGCCCTTCTCGTCTGTGCTGCAGCATTTAGGTGCCGACTAAAAAAGGTTCGCGCGTCGTGGGAAGTTTTCAAGATTCTCCTCGGGGCTGTGGGACCCCAAAGACCCTGACCAGTGAAGACAGCAAGAAGGACCCCAGGGAAGGACAGCGCCAGCCAAGGCCCACAAGCCAAGCTGTGTGTGGGAGGTCGTGGGGTGGGGGCAGTCGAGAAGGGCCTGCTCCCGGGCCACCACCCACCCCACCACTGCTGGGGTGTCCCCAGCACCACCGTCCTGTCTTCTCACAGGAACAGCGGACGGAGGTCAAAGGCTGCCTGCCACCTACCAGGGGACAGAGACCCATGGTGAGACCTCACGCAGCAGGCCCCAGACCACCCTACCCGTTATGTCTAGATTCAGAAACTGTCAATACAAACAGTGCTAACTGTATATCAGGGCAGGGTCCAGGACCCCACGCTCCTTCTGGCCAGCCCTGGCCATCCCGGCCACTGCGTCAGAGGATGGTCCAGCTGAGGGACAAACCCCCTGGCCTGGTCTCCCTGGCCCAGTTGGGGACTTGAACCAAGATCGTTGGCTGCACATTAGTGGAGAATGGACCCAGTGTGTGAAGGGTGCCCTGCAGCCGGGCAGCGGGGACAGGGCTGGCTGGCAGGAGGCAGGGAGGCCAGAAGGAGCACTCTGACCCTCATCCCCAAGCCTCTGAGCCATCTGCAAAATGGCCCACAGGGCCTCTGCCAGCAGGAGGCTCCTGTCCTCCTCCTGGCTCAACTGTGGCCACTGGCCAAAGGCAGCAGGCTGTGAGGGCCCTGGGCCACCTGAGCCAGTACAAGCAGGTCTGCTCAGGGTGCACCTCCCAGCCCGGGGCACCTGCATCTGCAGCCTCTCAAGGCCCCCAAGGTGGGCCTTCTGTCCTTGTCCTCAGAGCTCCAGCCCAAGGTCGCACAGGGGGCCAAGCTCCACCCAGGAGTCGGGCTCCTAAGCCCCAGGCCTGGCTGGCAGAGGGAGCTGGCCACAGGGTGCACTGGGCCTGGGCGGAGGAGTGGCTGCCGCGCCCCAGGCAGGACCCCGTGTCCGATGCTCTGGCCAAGCTTCTCGGCAGCCAGGTCCACCTCTACGCTGGCCCAAGGCAGGGTGGGAAGGTGGGGGCTGGAAGGGTGGGACGTGGTGCTTCGGCCCACTTCATGGAAACAGACCGAGGTTCCCCTTATTTTTAGCCACCGAGCTGCGCCTCCCGAGTCTCCCCCACCAGGAGCTGGAGGCTGATAAGCCTCCCTCACGCCAGCTCGGTAATTCTTTAAATAAAGCGCTTGCATTTGGCGTCCCCAGTGCTGGAAATACTCGCTCCCTGGATTTTTGACTTCACACCCGTGTGCGCGGTGCGAACCCAAGCGCATCAGCTGCCGGCTGGCTCATTAGGTGAGTCACTGTCTGGGGTGCCAGGATCAGGGGGAGAGATTGGCAGGCTTCCCAAGTGCGGGGCGGCCGGTGCTCAACCCTGGTGGTCCTGGTGAGAGATGGGGGTTCTCCTGACCACACCCTCCACCCAGGGAAGGGACCGGGATCCCAGTGAGGACTTCCAGCTACTGAGCTGGTTTCCTGCGTCCATTCCACTCACAGTGGCTGGGGTCCCCTCATGGCACGCCCTGGTCCATTCTCTCCATCTGCTTACACACAGGACAAAAGCCCACTCTGACCTGAGCCAGTGGCCTGGCTCCTGCAGACCCTTTCATACTGGCCTGTGCTCACTGTTGTCCAGCCACAGCAACCTCCTGCCCTTCATCATGCTGGGCTTCACCCAACCTCAAGGCCTTTGCACCTGCTGCCCCCCCTGTCTGGAGTGCCCTGCCTCCGGACCTCCCAAGGGACTTCATCTTATTGTTGGGGTCTCGGCTCAAGTGTCCTCCTCTGAGAGGACTCAACCCTGACCACCCTGATTGAATAGCCTCTGCCTCTCTGCCCCCTCTCCCTCAGGCACGGCGGTCTCAGGGTCTCTTGTTCATTGTCCCCCTTTTCCCTTGAAGGCCTCAGGGAGGCACATACCCCTCACCCACCAGCGTCAACCTCCAGAGCCCGCGTGGCAGAGTCGACTCTCAACAGCCTCCCGCGGAGTGAACCCAGGAGCGGTTCCCCCTGGGCAGATGACTACGTGCTCCAGCCAGGGGCTCCCTGACAGCTGCCCGCTGAATTTGTCCAAAGCCAGCTGTCATAGGGCATCATGTCACCGTGAGAGGCCTGGGGGTGAAGGTGAGTGGGGAGGGGCCCACCTAGAGGGTTTCCGGCCTCCGTGGGAAGGCAGCCCCGGGGCCTGGGCTCCTCTGCCACCCGAGGGCTTCTACCTCCTGGCAGGGAATCTATGTCACTGTCTGTTGTGAACATGCTCTGACCTGGGCACACTAGAGGCCAGGCAGGGGGCCTGGGAGGGTCCCTGAGACCTGGCGTCATCCTTGTCTTACAGAGATGCTCAGCCTCGGAGGCCTAGAGATGACCCCCGGCGGCCGTCCTCTGCCTGCTGGGCTCTGCTTCCAGCCTCTGCGCACACAGGCTGTTCCTTCTGCCCTTCCAGGTCACCCACCCCCACTTGTACCTGGAGAACTGAGCCCCCTCCCTCCCGGGGGGGTCTCCCACTTTGGCTGGAGTCTCCTACTCCGCCTGCCACGTGTCTGGGAAGGGAACTCATGAGATCATTGAGGGAGCGACTGAGCCTTGATCCTGGGTCTGTCAGCCGCACAGAGAGGCAGGCCCCCAAGGGGCTTCTTCTGTCCCTGACAGGGACTCTCAGACCTCAGCGTGTCAGACTCCGGCTGCCCTGGGAATCCCTGCTTCTGTCGTCTAGGGAAGACCCGGGGCGTCCATGCTGCGCCCGCCCTGTGGGCTGTGAGCCTGGGAACCTCAGGTCACCCTGGGCCGTGGAGTGGCCACAGGAGTCTCTGGCCTGGACATACCTGGGCAGGCAGCACCTCCCCCAGGGCCATCCACTCTGTGTCCCCGAGTCAGGCCCTGTCACTTCATAGACATCAGCTTTTAGTGGTGGGGACACTTACAATCTCCTCTGGGCCGTTTCCAAGCCACAGCAACAGTGGCCACGCTCCCCCACTCCTGCTGACGGGGACCCGAAGTCCTCTGCCCACAGCGCACACCCGCCCTGGCCTGGCGACCCTGTCTCCTCTCTGCCTCTAGACGGCTTCCTAAGGCACCAAGGGAGAGACCAGGCCAGCACGGGGCCCAGTCCCCGTTACCCACTGAACATGGTGGCCTCCAGGCTCACCCACGCTGTCACAAGTGACTGGCTTCCTTCCTGAACGCTGTGCGGGGCTCCACGGCGTGCACACCACTGTCTGTCCCCTCCTGAGCACGGGACGCCCGGGTCGACTTCGTGGTGGTCGTGAGCAGAGCCGCGGCGAGCTCGGGCATCTCCTCGGGACCCAAGCTCCCGCCCTGTGGTCACACCCAGAGGTGGCCACCATGTGGAGATTGGTTGTTGGTTTTCTGAGGAGCCCCAGGCTGTTTTCCAGATGGCCAATGGGGTGCAGAGGTCTCCTTTGTCCCCTTCCTCTTCCTGATGAGAGTCAGGTGGCGGGTGTGAGGTGGCATCTCATGGGGTCCCTTTCCTGTCCCCGTAGCCGCAGTCCCGCCTCCCTGCAGGAGGTGTGCGCTCTCCTTCCCGCCCACGCGGTGCTCATGCATGGGAAACCAGAAGCATGGTGACACCAAACCCAAGGACGGGGAGTGAAGGGGCCCGTAAGCTCCTCCCTGGGCTTGAGAGCCCTGGCCCCCGAGTCCCGCGTCCCGTCTTGTGCTGGAGCCGCAAGGGACATTCTAATGAAGGCAATTTTTAAAGGTTTCTGGAAAACGTGCCGCTCAGAACCAGTCCTAGGGGCAGGTTGGGCATCGGCCCGTCTCAGCCCTCCTGGAGGTGACCCAGCCACTCTTGCAGGCTTCTCGGAGAGACCTCCAGAGGGTCACGCTTACCTAGTGTGTGTGCCCATGCATGTGAGGGCACCTGCATGTGTGGGCTCAGAACGGACTGCCCTGTGCACGCGTCTCCCGCCCTCTGCCCACCCACACACTCCTCTCCGGGCTCAGTTCAGTGGCCACACGATGTCCTGTTGGATGGATGCCCTTTTGCTCACTGAGCTAACTTCCAACTGCTGGTCACTACGGTGGCCATGCGGTGGCCGTCCCTTGTTGAACTGGCAACTGTTCAGGACTGTGGTGCTGGGGAGCAGGGGGCGGGGCCTGATTTGCAGCCTTCCCCGATTTCCACAGTGTCAACATACCCATCCTGGCCTGTCCCAAGCTACTGGCATGACCACAGTGTCCAATCCTTCGCAGAAGCCCCTGCCAATCTGCAACTGCGCCTCTAATTCTGTCCCCTGCATAAACGCCCCAAGGGGAATTGGCTGTGTCACAGCAGATACAAATTCCCATGAACAATTCCAAATTGCTCTAGGGAAGATGTTATCTTCCAGTGTGGGAGGCCTGCTTACCTCACGCCCTCTGACAGTGGCCATTAGCATGCCTTTGAATCCTCCATCTGATACAGGGAAGAACAGTTGCTGCTGCTGTTGCCATTTGCATTGCTCTGGGTGTCTAACTTTTTAAATCAGGGCTATTTGGGCGACTGCAGGGTGTTTCACGAAGCCCCAGGGATTATGGGGTCCAGAAAGCGATTTGGAAATCCTGGCTTCGTGCCTTGCTTTGCCTGTTGGCAAGATCAAACTGCAGATGCAGTCACCAAACAGCATCAAAGCCTTCCCAGAGGACACTGGCGGAGTCGCTAGCCCTGTCGTGAGTACCTGCCCGCTCTACCCACCAGCACCCTCACCCTGCCTCCAACCCAGGCACAGACTGGAGGAGACACCGTGTTCATTGAGCACCCAAGACCTGCGCTTGGGAAAGGCCAACCCTGGTGGCTTGGACTCTCCGAGGTGCATTTTCAGTAAAGGAGAGATCTGGGAGAGCGGAAGACCCATCTGGCTGGTGTGACCTGGGGCAGGCTGTTGACCTCTCTGAGCTGCCTCCTGGACACTTGTGCCCTCCCCTGCATGATGGGGGGGGTGCTAGGGCCTGGCGCATAGTAGGCGTGTGAGACAGGCTTCCTCCTCCTCCTCCCAGTGTCAGTGTGCACTGTGAACCATGGTTAAATGACGCAGAGGAGTGGCACACGGTCCCTGGGCTCCCTCTGTCCCTACTCAGACCACTGTGATCGCCACACACCTCCCACGTCTAGCTCAGTCCAGTCTTCTCTGGGATGGGCTGGACCCCTGCTGGACTCTCGGACCCAGTGCCTTAATTTGGCCAAACACGACTTTTGTTAGAGCAGAGCTAAAAGCTTCTTCAAGGAGCTTCCTCCAACTGGTCCATTCTGATTTTGCATGATTAGGATCAAGCATTCTAATGGGGGTCTTGCCTCCTGTGCCCCCCAGTCAGCTTTCCTTCCCAAGGTGGCTTCCCAAGTCTTTCAGCATATAGCCCTCCATCCCTCCATCATTCATCCCTCCATCATCCATCCCTCCATCATCCCTCCATCATCCCTCCATCAATCATCCACCCATCATCCATCCATCTATCATCCATCATCCATCCATCATCCATCATCCATCCATCATCCATCCACCCACCCATCCTTCCACCCACCCATCTAGTCTGACTGTCCATCCATCCATCCATCCACCTATTCACCCACCCATCTAGTCTGACTGTCCATCCTTCCATCATCCATCCATCCATCCTTCCCTCCTTTAACAAATAGTGCCTTAGATCTGTTCTCAGCTGTACTCTACAGAATCCCCGACATGTGCACTTGTCAGGAAAAGTCTAACGTCAAGCAAATTCTAAAACAAACAAGACCAGCCTCTGTGCCTTCCTCCTCTGGGCTCTGGCCCCTGGTATCTTTTGGATGGGGTTGGCCTTCATTTGTCTTCCCTTCGTCTGGCTTTCCCAGCCACTGGAGCAGCCTTGAGACCCTTGTCCCCTCTCAGCTGTCCCCCCTCCCAGAGCCTTTCCCATGTCAGCCCGGGGCTTTGGTCCCCCTCTTTGCCTGATGCGGTCCATTTCCTCACTTGGTTTCTGGGTGAGGTGTTTCTCCCCCAGAGGGAACTGAAATCCTGGCTTCTGCGTCCCGTTCCCTGGTGGGTTCCACGGTGTTTGGTGTCTTTGTTTGATGCCTGTCTCTCCTGCACGATCATGAACGTCCTGAGGATGGGTCCCGTCCGCTGTGTTCATGGGGTGGGACCAGAGCTTGGGGCTGCCTGGTGGTGTGCATCTTCCAGATGAGTTTGTTGGGTGATGGAGGTGACATGCATCCAAAGCTCAGTGAGAGACAGTCAGGAGCCAGCAGCTGATGATGCGACTCCCCCACCCTCCAGCCTATCCGGGGCCACCAGAAGGGAGCCGGCCCGCGAAGGTGGAAGGAGTCGCCACTGGGATGTTGGCTGAGGATCTGAAATGTGCATTGGCGGGGACACAAGGTGTGGCAATTTGGGATGGAGCCTGCACCCCTCCAGGGCCTTTGGCAAGGCTGTTGGTGACCACCATGTCCACACTTGGGGCAGCTACGGGGGGGAGCTTTATCTTGGGTCTAGGAGGCGGGTTAGAGGCAGGGTCTGTATTCTAACTCCTGTCCCACCAGCCATGTGACTGTGGGCAGGCTGGGCTTCTCCTTCCCAGGGGCTGGTAATGGAGTCTCCCTCGGGTAGCTGTATGGGGTAGTTAGCGCCCGGAGGTGCTGGTTCCCGTTGCCATCCTCGTGGCCACAGGCTGCTCAGGGCCACGTTTCCCTCTCCACCTGGCTGTGAAGCCCTGTGTCGGTCCCAGGGCCTGACCACAGCCAACGTTCAGGACGTCAATTGTGGCCAATGGACTTGATTTGCGGCTCACTGACGGCCACCTTGTCTGGCCTCTTCTCTCATCCCAGTGTCTGCATACGTGGCTACTCTGGTCGCGTGGCTTGCTCTGGGCGCGTGGATTACTCTGGGCATGTGGCTTGCTCTAATCCATGTTCTTGGAAACCACCCTTGATCTTCTCCATCAGTGGTCTGGTGTCTTGCCTGAGTCGTTTGCGTGTGGCTGATTTTGCCTCTTTAATGGAACTGAAGGACCCTAAGGGTAGGGGCACCTCTGAGCCCCCCAGGTAGGTAGCACATGCTGAGCTGAGCAGACGGGCGGATGGGGTGGCCAAGGGGATAGAGCAAGGCTCCCTGCTCAACCACGGCGAGGATGTAGCTGGCCCAGGAATGCTGTGCTTTCTCAAGTGTCCATGACATTAAAAACCACAGCATGCGGGAAAGGTCAGTGACCAGCGGTCAAATTCTCTCTGCTTCCAGACCACAGACAGCACAGGATGTGTGAGGAGCAGATGGCCGGGGGACACGCCGCGGGTCCCCGAGCTGCCTCGCTGCAGCCAACGGGAAGAACCAAGTTCCACTTGATTGCTGGTGTGGCAGAGGCTCCAGAGCTCACAGGCTCTCTCAAAAAGTGTGGCTTCCTTTTTTCCCCAACACGTGGGGCACAGACAATGTTTGCCCACCTCCGTTTCTGTGAAATGGATTATGGGTGAAAATTATGCAGGCCACTTCCAAGCCCGGCCCACTGACACTTCTCGCACGTCTTCCTCCATCCCCAGGACTGGAGAGGACTTGGAAGTCCCTGGGAATGGCAGAACCACAGTGGAAGGAGCCTGGGTCCCTGAGTGGCCGTGTGGAACAGAGCCTGCCTCTGTGCCCACCCTGCCCTCTGCACCCTGCCAAGCTGACGAGGGTGCTGGGAGCCACATGAAAAGGTGTTGTTCTGTTAAAGCAAGTAGGAAAAACTCATCTGACCCTCCACCACCACTTTCTTCAAAAAATGGCTTTTTCCAAGGTTGCTGATGAATGCGACGAGACCCACTGTGTTCCAGAAACCATGACAGGCAGTCGGTACTCCTCACTCCATTTGAGTTTCTGTCAACCCTCAAAGGCAGGCCTGGTGTTTGGTCTGTTTTGCAGCTGAGAAGACTGCAGTTCAGAGGCACAGAGTGACATCCACAGGTCAGTGGGGACTGCATGCTCGAATCCCATTCCCATGGGGCTTTGATGGATCTATTTTTGGTATCGTGTCATCAGCCCACATAGAAGGACATTAAAGAAACAGATGTAGGAAATAAAAACTTTCTCACCAGCACCTCGAGTTGTTGTTTACTACATCATTAAAAGAATCCTCCAGGGAGGACCATGAGGAATTTCATCTCAGCCCACGACCGGAAACGGCTGCTCTGGTCAACTGGTGCCTTTTTACTCTCTAAGGTCAGCAAAAGGCAGCACAAGCATGTCTGCTTTGCTTCTTTGCTTTGGCTGCTAGGAAGCCAGGCGACATTGGGGTCCTGCTCCAACGACGGTACAGAGTCATTGGAACCTGCGTTTGTGGTTTAAGACGAACCTTTACTTCTCAGTCCAATTACCAGCCGCTCCTGGTTTTCCATGGGGCCTGAACTCCTGTTTGATTTGATTTATTTACACAGTGTTTTGCCTTTCTGCATGCATTCATGGAAGGACCTCAAATACTCTTTGGAATCAGGCAAAGGACAAAGGAATATGTGACCAGCTCCGTGTTCCCCAGCTCTTGGGCAGCAGGGTTAGGATTCAAGCCCACGGCGGGCTGCAGCAGGCCAGGCCTCTCTGCTCTGCCAGGCACTGCAGCCTGCTCTGTGGCCCTCTGGGCGCCAGGCCCTGTGCCAGGCCTCAGGATTAGACTCGCTTCTCCTAGACCCCGGTTTGGGGGGGGGGGGTCCCATGTGGCCTGGTATTCTGGGATAAGCTGGAGATGAGTGACTAATAGCCACGGCCCCCCGTGGCCCCACAGTGTGCTTCCTTTGGCCCACCAACTTCTTCAAAAATCGACTTTTTCAAATTGCCACCACCATTTGAAATTAAGATTGTATAGTTTTGAATTGTCCTTGTTTCTTATTTTCTCATGAAAAATTGGACAATCAAGCAACTCTGGGCCTCCAGTCCGACATGGCAACCATTGCTAGCCCTCTGGTGGACACAAATCCTGGTGTGTCGTGCTGTCCCCTGCCTGGCCTGGTCTCTTACCAATGACCTCTGGCTTCCCCTGGTGGCTCAGCCCTGGGTGGTGGTGACTTCTTGGGCACCCTCACTTTCCCAGGAGCCAGCTGTAGTCCTGGGTGGGAGCTCAGCTCCCCTGGCCGCCCCAGCCCCACTCATTCCCCAGAGTGTTTCCTGCTCCTCTTCAGACCTGAGCCATCTCCTGCCCCCGAGGGTCAGCTGGGACCTGCATCCTCTGATCCCCTCCCCGGGGTCCTGCTGCACACTCAGGCCTGGCCCCAGTCCCTTGTGCTTGTTGAGTGAATGAGGGACGGAGGCAGGGAAGGAGTCAGCAGGTGGCCGAGCTCTCAGGGGGTCCTGGCTCAGGTGGACGTGAGGGCAGAACAGCAACTTGGAGGCAGGAGGCAGAATTCTGTGCTGGCCCACCGCCCGGGTCCCCAGGCCTCCTGTGTCCCTTCGAGGGCCTCTCCCATGCCAGGCTATGCCAACGGAGCCCCTGCAGACTTGGCGGAGTTTCCCACGCTGACGACCAGGGGAGAAAGATGTCACAGCCCCGGACAGTCACCCAAACCTCCTGGTTGCCCCTGGTTCCCTCTCCTGGGAAGAACAGCCTGGGGAGGCTCGGTCTCTCTCCTTCTCCCAGAGCCTCCGCCTCCCCCAGGTCCGTCTTTAATTGCGCTGAGCAGTGGGAAGAACCTCGTGGCTCTTACATCTGTTTTCTGGAAGATTGTGAAGGCACATTAAAGTGTGTGCTCGTGGGCGTCTGGTAGCGGGGCCTCTCTCGCTGCGTGAAATAATGGGGAAGGATCTGGGGAAGGAGGAGAGCGAGGGAGAGCAGACAGACAGACAGACAGGGAGACAGAGACAGCGTAAGAAATGGGGTGGGGGGCCGCTGTGGCCTCGGTGGCCATTGCCGCGTTCTGATTTGGGGCATGTTTTCTTGCAGGCCCTGGACGGAGATTTGGGGGAGTCACCCTGAAGCCTGCAGTGTGAGCCCTGCAGACACAGGCAGCAGTGTCCTGCCATGGGAGCTGTTTGGAGCTGTGGGGCTGCCTGTGTCCCTCGCTGTCCCCTCTTGAGCCAGGTCCCATGTCTCCTCCCAAGAGCAGGCAGGAGGCAGGGCTGGCTCCTTCCAAAGCCCACCAGTGGCCTGGGATGGAAGAGGCCCGCCCCAGCCCAGGAGGACGCTGGGCACACCCAGGGTGGCCAGGATGCTGGACGTCCTGGGAGCCTAGAGGGAGAGGGTGGAGGGAGTAGGCGGAAGGTGGCTGCTGAGCCGGCGGCTCTGGCACTGCCCGGGCAGGGAGAGGAGGGTTTGGCGAGCACAGCCCTCGCCCTCCAGCCCCCGGGAGGGAGTCGGCAGCCCCTCTTCCACAGCTGGGCATGGAGGCTCAGCAAGAGAGGGGCTGCCCCAGGGGACACACCAGGGGCCTGGGGCCCTCCTGACCTCTCCTGGTCCCTCTCTCAGCAGCTTCTGTTTCTGAGCAGGGCTCTGAGGGAGTGGGGGGTGGGCTCCGCTCAGGACCCAAGATGTGCCCTGGCAGGGACCAGGCAGGGCACCTGTTCCTCCCTGCGGTGGCAGACACAGGGCCCAGGGTGGGGATGGCTGGCCCAAGGGCCTGGACTTGGCACCACGGAAGGACCTTTCCTGGAAGCCACAGAGGCTCAGGGACACAGAGGCAGTTCTGGAAGCCAGGGCATCTCCAAACAGCCATGGTGCCAGCTGCCCCTGATGGGTGGAGAGGAGGTGGTATGTAGGGATCCTCCAGGGCCCGGCCTCCTCTGGCCCATTATGTCGGGGAGCCAGGAGGTGATCTCATCCAGAGCAGTGGGCTCGGAGTTGTGTTGATTCCAAAGAAGATCATAGTGGGACTTTTTCCGGTGCTGCTGGGGGTGGAACCCAGGGCCTCCTGCATGCCAGGCCAGTGTGGTGCCACTGAGCTGTGCTGGGCCCTGCTGGGCATCCTGGTGACATCTGCCTGCCGTTCCCATAGCTCTTCCCTCCTGGTTCTCATTCAACAACCTGCTCAGTGTTTAGAGTTCCCCACACCCACAGAGGGCCAGCGTCCACCAGCTCTGGGCTGGACACCGCCTTAAGGCCTGTGCCCCAACTGGCCGAAACCCACCCAGTCTCAACAGCTCTCGGGCGTCTTGCTCAGAATGCTGGGCAGTCAGGCTTGCTGTCTCTGGGCGTGTGTAGGACACACAAGGATCCCCCCCGACAGATGTTGGAACCATCTGGCCGTCACGGGAGAGTGGGCAGAAGGACGAAGCTCATAGCAACGCTGGGCGGAGCCGGGAGGACTGCTGGAAACGCAGCTGGAGCCTGATCCAGCCTCACCTGCTGCCCGCATCCTTGACGTTGCCAGGGAATCAACCTCGCTATTCTGTTGACGGCCAGCTTGAGTCGGGGTGTGCGGCGCTTGGCTTTGAAGGACACTAGTGGTTGGCGTAGACATGAGTCTGAGAGCCAGCTCCAGGTCTGGAATCCACCCCCATCTCTGAACCTCGTTTCCCATCTGGAGACAACGACCAACCTCCGTGCTCCACAGGGCTGTCCAGAGACTGGTGACATGAGTGGCACCACTAACACAGAGCTTGGCACCTAGTGCTGTCCCAAGAACTGCATGCTCCATGACTCTCGCCCCTGGGGTTCAGGCCATCCTGCTTCTGGGCTTCCAAGGGGAGCCCCCGAAACCTTGCCCTGGGCCGGTTATCATGGCCACTGGGACTGGGGGAGGGAGGCTCTCTGATTATGGTCATTAGGGCCACCACCCTGGGAGTCTGGTCACGGCACCTGGGCCAACCTTTAGACCTGCCTTGGGTCGGCCAAGCAGCCCCAAATAGTTGCTTTGCCAAGTTTTTGACAAGAAGTCTATTTCAGGCCCAGGGAGGAGGACGGTGTGACCTGCCCTGTGGACAGACACGCCCACGAGCTCTGGCCCCACAGCCATGGCTGCTGCTCAAGGAGGCCCGGCCAGTCCCCATGGGGCTACTACTCTGAACCTTCTCTCTCCGTCATAAAACCAGCACCGTCCTCGGCAAAGCCCGACCCACTGCACCTTATGGTGAGGAGAGGGCTCCCCTCACCTTCCAGGGCCCCTCAGCCGACCCTGCAGGTGCCCTCTTCCAGGGGCATTTGATGTCCCCCCGTGCACACACTTCCTTACCAGGTGGCCCCTCCCACGTGGACCCTCCTGCAGTCTGACTTTTAAACGGCTTTACTAGCCTGTATTTTGTACCAGGAGACTCACCCTTCATAGGGTGGGGTCCACGAGCTCTCAGTGTGATGGAGTTTTGTGGCCATCGCTGCCGGGGTCTGGCTGGGGGAGCCCCCGGGGGCCTGGGGTGTCCAGGCTGGAGTGCTTGGAGATGATGAGGGCCTCCTGAGAGCCGCGGCCGCCTCGCCGTCCGGGGGTGAAGGCACCAGGTGCTACCGTGGGTCAGTGGAGGTGGCCACAGGGCCCTGCCCACAGCCACTTCCCCTCTCCCTCTGCTCCCTGGCTGTGCCCTGGGAAGGGCTTCCTCCACCATCCTCCATGATTCTGGGCCTCACCTTGGCCAGAGCGTGAGACTGGTTGACCTGGGAGGGACAGAACCTCTGAAACCAGGAGCCCAGACACTTCTTCGAGATGCTCCCGACAGGCGTCGTGGTCCCCGTGGTGAGAAGCCAAAGGGCACCCCAGCCTCACATGTTACACTTGCGTGCCCAGCCCCTCCACCCACCCCAGGCAGCCGCTCACTTGCTTCCTGTCCCCACAGACCTCCCTTGGGACCTTGCATGTAGGTGGCTCACAGGTACGTGACCCCTGGTGACTGGCTTCCTTGACTCAGCATGACGGGTTCCAGGCCCCACCTGCTGCCACGCATGTCGATGCTTTCTCTTCATGACCAAGTAATATTCCCGTGTGTGGAGACCACGTTTTGTTATCATCCTCAGCTGGTGGACACTTGGGTCTTGCTCTGTGGCTGTGATGAATAAAGCTGCTCTGAGCCCTTGTGTCCCTGTCCTCCTGTAGGTGCTCGTTTTTACTTCTCTCGGGTGTAGACCTACGAGGGAGCTTGCGGGGCCCCATGGCGTCTCTTTGTCTCACTCTGAGGGGCTGCCGTGCTGTGTTCCACGGCAGAACTCCATCGGACTTCCCCACCAGCAGTGTCCAGGGCTCAGCTTCCGCCTCCAACGCTTGCTGCTCTTGGTGACAGCCATCCTGTCACTAAGAGGAGGCCTGAAGCGGAGTCTCACGGTGGTCGTGACCACAGCCTGGCTCTCCCACCTGCCCTAGGACCTCCCTGTGGTGGCCCCACCTTGACCTGACCATGCTGCTCTGCGGTGGCCCCACAGAGACCTGCCCACGCCTCCCTTTGGTGGCCCCATGGGGACCTGCCCACACCTCTCTGTGGTGGCCCCACTGTGACCTGGCCACAGGCACCCTGTGTTCCACTCTCAGCCTGGGTCCTGCTGATCTCCCTGTTGATGGACACGTGGACTTTCCCTGAATTGGGATATGATGAACACTCCAGGGCGGGGAGGGGTCTTGAGTGTGGCTCAAGCCACAGGGGTCTTGCCTGTGGCTCCCGGGGGGACACTGGAGGGGACCACCAGGCCTGGCTGGGGCCTCTCAGGATCACAGAGGGGTTTCCTCCCAGGCTCTGCCCCTGACGGCTATGTGACCTCGGGGCAGGTCACAGAAGTCTGGGCCTGTGAAAAGCAAGACCAGACCAGGTCCCCAGCCCCTGCCTTCCCATCCACTCCCTGGTCATTCTGGTCACTTCCTTGCCACCATCACAGCTCCTCTGCTGTGGCTTCTGGACCTCACTGGCCTCTCCCAGGTACCCTGAAGAGAGGCGCGGCTGGAGTTCTGGCTACCCACCTGTTCAGAGAAGGCAAGCGTCAGCTCACAGACTCTCAGCAAGTAGACAGACGCCATCAGCCTGGGCCAGGCTTCAACCCGGGTTCTGTGGCCTCTCCACAGGTGACCGGGGCTCAGCATCATGGCTCAACCTCAGGGACCCCTCCAGAGACACAGGCTGCTATCTTTGGGGAAGCTGCTGGCCCTCCCGGGCCCTCTCTCTGCCCCTCCCCACCATTCTGAGCACCTGGGACATGTGGCAATAGGAGGTGCCCGTGGTGCTTGGGAAGGAGGGAGAGACAAGGGCTGCCCTCTTACTCCACGGGCCCCTTCAGTGGAGGAGGCCACATCCTGCTGGATTCTGGCACCGCCGCTGCACCCCGCCTAGCCAGTCCCAGGGAGGGACCAGCTGGCTCCTCCCGACCTCCCCTGGTGTCCTCTGGGGTCCCTGACTGGTGTGGGGAGCTTCCCCACAGTGGTGAAGGGGATTGCCTTAGTCCGTTGTCTGAGTCTGTAACAGAATGACTGAAGCTGGGTAAATCGTAAAGAAGTTTGTTTCTTGCCGTTCTGGAGGCTGGGAAACCCAGGGCGGAGGGGCTGTGTGTGGTGAGGGCCTCCGACGCATCGTAACCTGGAGGAGGCAGCAGACGGCGAGAGTGGAGGAGGGCACACAAGGGGGCCAGAGGCCGAGGGGCACCAGAACTCACCCTCTTACCCAGCACCCACCCCAGGTGACGGCACTGATCCTCTCCTGAGGCTGAGCTCTCGGGACCTGATCGCTTCCCGCAAGGCCACCTCCCCACCCCAGCACTGCTGCACGGGCGGTGAAGCCCCTGTGTGAGGACCGAGGGAGCGCAGAATGAGAAGGGCAGTGAGGTGGCCCAGCCTCCCCGGCCAAGGAGCCCGGCCACTCCACCCCTCTCCCGGGCAGCGAGGGTAGCCCTGGGTCTCGGCCTCTTCCTTTGCCCTGAAGGACCTGGCTGCAGAGAGCCCTGGATCCGGAGGTCATGGCAGCCTCGAGCTGGCATCTCAGCCAACGGAAAACAGGTCCGAGGGGCAGCGGCTCCATCCCTGGGTGAGAAGCTGCTCCAGGCCTGGGCAGGCTCAGTGTCCCCCACAGGCCACATGCAGCTGGGAGCCACCAGTGTGCACTCAGCGCATGGCGAAGGACACAAACCGAGCACAGCACACCCACACATGAGAAAGCACCCCGCACAGGCTCCCGGCAGGGCACGCCCTTCACCACACGCCACCTGGCCAGCTCCCACCCCCGCGGGCACACGTCCAGCAAGGGCTGAGCGTGGGCTGGGAAGTCGGGTCTGGAGAGCCAGGCAGAGGGAGCCCCGGCCACAGGGCTGGGGTGTGCGTGCAAAAGTGTGGGGGCCGTGGCTAGTGTGCGTTTCTAGGGCGTGCCCACCAGCTGTATGTGAGTCTGTCACAGAGCCCGGGTTAGGGTGGTCAGACACAGGCTGAGGCTGCCCAGGGCTAGGGACCGAGCAGCCTGACCTTCACGTCGGAAGCCGCCTGCACCCAGCCGCCTCTCCATTCAAGTCAGATGCCAGGAAGGGAGGTGGCAGGACCAGCCAGCTGCCTGCCAGGCCCCTGCCAGCCCCTGGACGCCGCCTGCCACTCTCTGAGGACCTACAGAAAGGTATGTCACTCCCGTTTTACAGACAAGGACGGTGGAGCCTCAGAGACGGCTGGACGCTCCCTGGCAGCCAAGCTCATGTTGTCAGGCTGAGATTGTGACCCGGTGGCCCAACCACGGGCTTCTGATGCTCCGGCACCTGCAGCCTGGCTGACCCTGGAGGAGAGGCGCTTTGGTCTGGGTGTGGCTCATCCCCAAAACTCATGTTGGGGTTTTATTAGAGGATGGAGGTTCAATCGGCCATCGTGGGGCCTTCGGGAGGGAAGGGGGTTAGATGACATCGTCAGGCTGGGGCCCCTTGATTGAGTCCTGTGGCTTTGTGAGAAGAGACCAGAGGACACACGCATGTGCACACACACTCCTGTCTGTGGCCATGTGACGTCCTGCTCCACCTCGGGACTGCACCCACGAGCAGGCCTACGCCAGACCCAGCCTCTTCTTCTCCAGCCAGAACTGAGCCCAGACTCACCTTTTTAGGCCCAGTCTGTGGTCTCCTGCTCTCACCAACAAGTGAACTGACCCACTGACCCCCCGAGGGCTGGCCGGGTCCGCAGACCGTGAACTTTGAGATCAGAACTCTCACCAATCCAGAGTCTCCAGCCGTACCTCCTCCCAGGCTGCCACGCTCAGAGCCACTGGCCCCTGCCACATCCCACAGGGCCAGGGTCCATACAACGAGGGATACCCTGTGCCCTGGAATCCACCGATGATTCAAACCAGTCAACCTAAACCTGCTTCCCCTGCGGCCTGTCCCTTCCTGTGGGAGCTAGAATACCAGCTCCGGCCAGGCTCCCTGCCTCTCCTGCCCCTGACCATGCCCGGCCTCACCTGGATGGCTGGGAAGGATGTGGCGTGGCCCTCTTTGGGAACTGTGGGTGGGCACCTGTCTTTTCAGTGGCAATCCTGATCTGCTGGCCTGGCCGTACCTGAGCAATAATGAAACCTACATCGTAGGACGCTGATGACCGTGGATTCCCTAAAAAAGGGCCCTGCGGCACTGGGTTCCTTTCACAGGGAAGGGGCAGGGTGGCTTCTCCTTTCCTGTCTTGTCTCCCTGCTCACCATGGCCTGGACATCTGTGTCCCTGAGCCTGCCCACCATGTCCAACCCAGTGGGCTTCTCTGACTACTGTGGGCCTCCTCCAAGAACCAGGCTTCCAGCGGACAGGCCTGGGCTGCCCTCCACCCCAGCCAGGGGCAGGCCCTCAGCAGGCCGAGCCCCAGGGCCACCTCCAGCTATCTCTGAAGCAGATGGGGACTCTTGTACCCACTTCACACAAAGGGACCAGCCAAGGTGGGTGGCGACTGTGAAATGGGACAGGGCAGGACAACAGACCGGGCTGGGGCGCTGGGTTGTCATGCAAGCAAACCTCCAAAATAAAGTCCAAAAGAAGATGATTTATAAAAAGAAAATGGTGGCCCAGAGCCAGCCAGTAGTGAAGGGGTGTGGCCAGGTTTGGGGTTCCCCACCGGAGCAACCCTGGCCCTGCTTTTCCTTAGATTTGCCCCAGAGGACAGCTGCCCACCGTGGGTCTCAGGTCACTCAGCTGTGGCCTCCTCCATTTCTTCACCCTGGTGTCCCCTGGACGGCACCGACACATAGATGAGTGTGTGCGCAGAGGACCTGGGGACGGCGTGTGCTCCCAGACCTCCTTCTCCGTGAGATCTTTCCTGGTCACTGTGTAAAATTGCCGCCCTCCACGTACCGGCCCCCACACAACCTGTGCCCGCTCTGCTCCAGGGCGTTCTCCAGGCCCCAAACCTGGGAGGACCTAATCCTTCATCACCTTCCCCAGAATGCTCATAGGGCCCCGAGGGCAGGGATCTGGGTCTACGTCACCCACCAGCTGGGCCCAGCACAGCACCTGCCCAAGGAGCACCACCAGGGACAAGCAAGTGGCTGCCTGACCACGAGTTCAAGGTCGGGCAGAGCAGGGGGCTTCCTATTCTAGAATGCCAGAGATGATGTAGCTCCGGCACTGTGGCATCTCAGCCTCTCATTTATAATGGGGAAAGGGAGGACCAGGTGCTGGAAGTGTCTAGGTGAGATTAGATGCAGAACTCGTTTCTCCAGTCCCAGGTGTGCACTCGCGCTCGCTCTCTCTCTCTCTCTCTCTCTCTCTCTCTCTCTCTCTCTCTCTCTCTCCCCTAGGGATATAGCAAAGGCTTCATGCTAAGCAAGTGCTCTGTGACCTCCAGCCCCCTCTTTTGTTTTCTGAGAACATGGTGCAAAGACCTGCTGCCTTGAGAAGACACTGCGGCAGCGTGTGGTAGAGTGTGTCTGAGGGGGTGGAAGATCAGAAAGGCTCATTGATTTACCCGACATCGCACAGTGAGGAGGCACAGAGCTGGGATTGAAGCCTAGGGCTGTTTGATTCCCAGTCCAGTGTGCTGCCTGCAGAACCCTCTGCAAGCTCTAAACTGGTGCTCCTGTCGAAGGATATGAGCTGGACCTAAAATAGCATTTTCCCAAGATTCTGCCTCCAGCCTGC